TGTCGGTATTTTATACCATTTATTTCCAGGGTCACTAGTGACATGGTCCTTAGGCAAATAGATAAATTAAAACCTAACAAATCCCCAGGCCCTGATGAACTGTATGCAAGGGTTCTAAAGGAATGTAAAGAGGAGCTTAGCACACCTTTGGCTAATCTTTTCAACATATCACTACAAACTGGCATGGTGCCAGATAAGTGGAAAATAGCAAATGTGATACCTATTTTCAAAACAGGTGACAGGTCCTTAGCTTCGAACTATAGACCAATAAGCCTAACCTCCATAGTGGGAAAATTTATGGAATCAATAATTGCCGAGGCAGTTCGTAGCCACCTTGAAAAGCATAAATTAATCAACGAATCTCAGCATGGTTTTACAAAGGGGCGTTCCTGCCTTACGAATTTATTAACTTTTTTCACTAAGGTATTTGAGGAGGTAGATCATGGTAATGAATATGATATTGTGTATATGGACTTCAGTAAGGCTTTTGACAGGGTCCCACATCAGAGACTATTGAGGAAAATTAAAGCACATGGAATAGGAGGAGAAATTTTTTCCTGGATAGAGGCATGGTTGACAAATAGGCAGCAGAGAGTTTGCATAAATGGGAGAAATCAGAGTGGGGAAGTGTCACGAGCGGTGTTCCACAGGGGTCAGTGTTGGGCCCCCCTGCTGTTCAAAATCTACATAAACGACATAGATGAGGGCATAAAGAGCGACAACGGCAAGTTTTGCCGATGACACCAAAATAGGCCGTCGAATTCATTCTGACGAGGACATTCGAGCACTCCAGGAAGATTTGAATAGACTGATGCAGTGGTCGGAGAAGTGGCAGATGCAGTTTTAATATAGACAAATGCAAAGTTCTAAATGTTGGACAGGACAATAACCATGCCACATATAAACTAAATAATGTAGATCTTAATATTACGGATTGCGAAAAAGATTTAGGAGTTCTGGTTAGCAGTAATCTGAAACCAAGACAACAGTGCATAAGTGTTCGCAATAAAGCTAATAGAATCCTTGGCTTCATATCAAGAAGCATAAATAATAGGAGTCCTCAGGTTGTTCTTCAACTCTATACATAAGAACATAAGAACATAAGAAAGGAGGAACACTGCAGAAGGCCTGTTGGCCCATACTAGGCAGGTCCTTTACAATTCATCCCACTAACAAAACATTTGCCCAACCCAATTTTCAATGCCACCCAAGAAACAAGCTCCGATGTGCAAGTCCCACTCAAATCCAACCCCTCCCACTCATGTACTTATCCAACCTAAATTTGAAACTACCCAAAGTCCTAGCCTCAATAACCCAACTAGGTAGACTGTTCCACTCATCAACTACCCTATTTCCAAACCAATACTGCAGCATCATGGGATCTTCTTACAAAGAATTCTTCAACGCTTGTTCAACCTTTGGACAAAGACCTACTTCGACTAGTGGATGGTACCACTATGATCCCGCCTCCGTCTGCTTCAAGTCACCTCACTACAGTATATAAGCCACGTCTACGGCCCTATGCTGTACATTCTACAAGATTGATGGACTGAACACATCGACTCCAGGCTGAGGGACTGATTACCTCATACTCCTCCTCTCCTTACGCCTTCCTCTTTGTATTGGACTGATGAAGCCACTGTGTGGCGAAACGTTTCCTGAATAAAGATTTCCATATGCTGCATAAGTGTCTCAATCTTCAACTTGTCGGTTTTTCAAACCATTCATCACAAACCAATACTTTCCTATGTCCTTTCTAAATCTAAACTTATCTAATTTACATCCTTGGTTAGGCCTCATTTAGATTATGCTGCACAGTTTTGGTCACCTTATTACAGAATGGATATAAATTCTCTGGAAAATGTACAAAGGAGGATGACAAAGTTGATCCCATGTATCAGAAACCTTCCCTATGAGGATAGACTAAGGGCCCTGAATCTGCACTCTCTAGAAAGACGTAGAATTAGGGGGGATATGATTGAGGTGTATAAATGGAAGACAGGAATAAATAAAGGGGATATAAATAGTGTGCTGAAAATATCTAGCCTAGACAGGACTCGCAGCAATGGTTTTAAGTTGGAAAAATTCAGATTCAGGAAGGATATAGGAAAGTACTGGTTTGGTAATAGAGTTGTGGATGAGTGGAACAAACTCCCAAGTACCGTTATAGAGAAATATAAACACAAATGCAGTATAATGTGATCCTTTATTGACAACGTTTCACCCACGCAGTGGGCTTTTTCAAGTCACACACGGATCTACCTGGGGTTGGAAGGTACGGGAGTATTTATAGTTCAGAACGTTGAGGTCAGGTGAAGATTGCTGCATCAGATGATCTACCGGGTGGGGTTGTAGAGTCTTGGGTAGCTAGGCGGGGATATTGGACAAGTTGTGAGTAGACCTTCTGCAGTGTTCTATGTTCTTATGTGGGATAGCGATGAAGAAGTTTCTTGGCGAGTGGTTCAGCTATGTTATAGAAGCCATTGTTCTGGTTGAAATTGTTGGTTATAGAGATAAACGATGATTCCAGGATTCTTCTGTATTGAGTTACCTGGAGGTTACCTGGAGGGTTATTCCGGGGATCAACGCCCCCGCGCCCGGTCCACGACCAGGCCTCCCGATGGATCAGGCCTGATCAACTAGGCTGTTACTGCTGGCCGCACGCAGTCCGACGTACGAGCCACAGCCCGGCTGATCCGGCACTGACTTTAGGTATCTGTCCAGCTCTCTCTTGAAGGCAGCCAGGGGTTTATTGGCAATTCCCCTAATGCTTGATGGGAGGCTGTTGAACAGTTTTGGGCCCCGGACACTTATGGTGTTTTCCTCTTAGTGTACCAATGGCGCCCCTACTTTTTATTGGCGGCATTTTGCATCGCCTGCCCAGTCTTTTACTTTCGTAGGGAGTGATTTCTGTGTGCAGATTTGGACCATTCCCTCCAAGATTTCCAAGTGTAGATTTTGATATATCTCTCCCTCCTGCGTTCCAACGAGTACAAGTCAAGTGCTTTCAAGCGTTCCCAGTAGTTAAGGTGCTTGACAGAACTTATACGTGCGGTAAAGGATCTCTGTACACTCTCTAGATCTGCGATTTCACCTGCTTTGTATGGAGATGTTAATGTACAGCAGTATTCCAGCCTAGAGAGAACAAGTGATTTGAAAAGGATCATCATGGGCTTGGCATCTCTCGTTTTGAAAGTTCTCATTATCCATCCTATCATTTTCTTTGCACGTGCGATCGTGGCACTGTTGTGATCCTTGAAAGTGAGATCCTCAGACATTACTACTCCCAGGTCCCTTACATTATTTTTCCGCTCTATTGTATGGCCGGAGTCAGTAGTATACTCTGTTCTAGTTATTATCTCCTCCAGTTTTCCATAACGGAGTAGTTGGAATTTGTCCTCATTGAACATCATATTGTTTACCGTCGCCCACTGGAAAACTTTGTTTATATCTTCTTGGAGGTTAACCGCGTCCTCAGCAGATGACAGCCTCATGCAGATCCTAGTATCATCCGCAAAGGATGATACGGTGCTGTGGTGTATATCTCTGTTTATGTCTGATATGAGGATAAGGAATAAGATGGGGGCGAGTACTGTGCCTTGTGGAACAGAGCTCTTCACTATGGCAGCCTCCGATTTAACTCTGTTGAGTGTTGTCTTCTGTGGCTATAAGTCTTGAGTTTCTGTAGTTAATTAAATGGTTGTGTGAATTGCGATGTTGTACACAGGCATTCCTTGTATCGTCAGTCCTGCTTGCATATTGGTGTTCTGAAATACGTGTTTGGAGGTCTCTTGATGTTTCGCCCACGTATAATTTGTTGCAGTCATTACAAGGGATTATGTATACCCCTGCAGAGGATGGAGGCTTGTCCTGTCTACTACTGGTGATGTCCTTGATGGTCGTGGTTGTGGAGGTAGATACTTGGAATGATGTTTTGGCAAAGATGTTGGAAACATGTTTGGCAATGGAGTGGTGGGAAGGACTATGTATCTCTTCTCGGCAGTGTCTTCTCTGGGTGTGTTGAAGATGTTTAATGCTCGCCGTCTGCAGTCTCTGATGAAGTGACGAGGATAGTGGAGTTTGGAAAATACTTGTTCAATTATAGTGCATTCTTCCTCAAGGAACTCGTTGCTGCAGATTCTGAGTGCACGCAGGAAGAAGCCTATAATTACACCACGTTTGGTTTTGGTGTCGTGGTGAGAGTAGAAGTGGAGAAGATCGTTTTGGTTGGTGGGGTTTTCGATAGACTTTAAAACGAAGTTCGTGGTCAGCTTTGCAGAGTAGAACATCAACGTTCTGAACTATAAATACTCCCGTACCTTCCAACCCCAGGTAGATCCGTGTGTGACTTGAAAAAGCCCACTGCGTGGGTGAAACGTTGTCAATAAAGGATCACATTATACTGCATTTGTGTTTATATTTCCATTGTGTCGGTATTTTATACCATTTATTTCTACCGTTATAGAGGCCAGAACGTTGTGTAGCTTTAAAAATAGGTTGGATAAATACATGAGTGGATGTGGGTGGGTGTGAGTTAGACCTGATAGCTTGTGCTACCAGGTCGGTTGCCGTGTTCCTCCCTTAAGTCAATGTGACCTGACCTGACTAGGTTGGGTGCATTGGCTTAAGCCGGTAGGAGACTTGGACCTGCCTCGCATGGGCCAGTAGGCCTTCTGCAGTGTTCCTTCGTTCTTATGTTCTTATGTTCTTATATGTATGGTATTATATACACCTACAATTATGCGGCTTATGGCGGCGATTCTTTCATCAGGGACGAATAGATACAGTCCCTGGTGGACGAAATGTTTTCTTGATAAAATGCATATTGTGTTTTATTAACGGGGGTAGAGATGTGGTTTCGTCTTTGTAGTGCTACTCTCTGCCCTGAGCGAAAAGTCTGTCTTTACTCTGCTTAATAGAGAGAGATGAAACTGCTCATAGTAATGGTAAACTTAAATATAACAAAAAATCTGTAACAGAAGATTAAAGTGTGTACTCACAAAGACGTCGTACTGTATCCGTATGAGATGGCAGCCACGGAGGTTAGTTGGTGGTAGCGGTGGTACGTACAGTTCCTCATACTTCCAGTCATCTGTGTCACTCGGCTTCACTTTTCCTCTCGACACAGACGACAGCTCCCGTGTCTCGGTCTGGATCACTTTGCTCTTGGAGATGTATTGGATAGTCTGTGAGATCAACCAAACTATTACCAACAACTCTCACTCTAGACCAGCGGACCATGACATACTTACACAAGAATATCTAGAACGTTACCTACGTCAACTGTCAGACTGGAAGTATTTTGTACTTGAGTTATATTAAAGTTATATACGATATCTCGTTATCGTGTGTGAGGGCTGGTTAATAGGGGTTTTAAACTTATAGATTACACTAGGATCATTAACGCTGCACTGGTAACCTGTTCACCACCAGTCAAGAATATTTTAATTCTTAAAACATGGAGAATTTCTCGCTGAGAGAAAGGCATCTCGGTGTATATGACGTGTTGAACTTGAATACAAATGACTACAGAATGCTGAACTTCTTTTAGTTTCTACTTTACTAATAGTATGTTCGAGTTTATATTAATAAGATGAAAATTTGTTTTACATTTAATTATTGGGATACAGATAAATCTTACAATGATTCCAAGACTGGCTTTAATGATTACGTGAGTAGAGTATATTAAAGTTATAGGTAATATGAGGCACATGGACGTCCTCCTTAATTAGATAGGCTGGCTCTTTCAAATCAACCATTAACCGCTTTAAAAAATACAAATTTACTAAATGAGACATGCAACAGTACTTTTAAAATTATAGCAAATTCACCAGTTGTGAAAAAAAAAATGTTGCCTTACCTCTGTGAGACATGCCCGGGTACCCTTGATGGTAACTTTGCTCTGGTTGTGGACACGTGCCCATATACTGATGGTCTCTCCAGGCACGTAGCCGCCACGGTCCAGCCTAACACGGCAGGACACGGGACCCTGGGATAGACATGTCATTCCCAGCTTATGCTCGATCTCGCAGTGGAACGGTTGCTGTGGAGAACACACATTAGTTACTGACCAATTTCTGTGGAAAATACAAGAATTAGCTACTGATCATGCGTGTCTTTATTCATGTCAGCAGTATGCATTTCTCCAGTAAATTAAAGTGAACATTAACCCCTAAAGCACATGGTTTTAGAGGGACAAAATGAGTGTTGAGTGTTCTTTCCATCAGCTAGGGTGCCATAATTTCCAGTCCTACGTTGCGTAAATCATTCAGAAAACTCGTTTTTGAGCCACGACTTGAAGACTGGAGAACACAAGAGTGAACTACTGAACAGTTGCTGTGGAGAACACCCAAAGAAGGCAAGAGATGGCCCAATTAAAATATGAAGAAAACTGATATCAAAATACACTATGAAGTTTTGACATATTCAATAAGAAGACTTGTAAATTCACCAAAGGTGTTTCGTATATTCATAAGAATTTTGGTAAGTTTTCCAGTGAAACATGATTGAGAAATTCACTACAATTTTTGAAACAATGAGAACTTGGGTAAATTCAATAAAAAAAAGGGGGGAAATTTAAGACTACACGAGGATCATTAAGGCTGCATGTCACCTGTTCACCAGTAAAGAATATATCAATCCCTAAATCAGTGATTATAGTAAATCTTCAACATACACTGAGAGATATACATAACACAATGTGGTATTGAACTCACCGCAAGAATGGAAGGCTCAAGGTTGAGATCGATGGGATTCATGACGATGAAGACTTGCTGGTTCTTGTGGGTAAGACCATTGGGTTCTCTTAGCGCTGCCTTGCAGAAGTACTGCACCCATCCATGCTTTCCCAGGAAGGTGGAAGGCAGACCCAAAGGCAGGCCAAGCTTGAAGGGAAAACTGTGGATCCCCGGAGACAGCAAGATGGGACTCTGACCTGTTCCATACCATTAAATGAGGAATAGTAAATAATTATTTTGAATGATGCTGCTTATAGTTACATAAAGCCGCTTAACAGTTAAATTTGAGAATAACAGAAAGTTACCTAGGGGTTATAAATGAGGCTGTTAAAAGGTTGAAACTCCATGGCAGGGACACGAAGCCTATCCGCGAGAAAGTTACGGAGTATCATACGGCCAAAATGCATAAGTATTTACAGTGGAATGTTGAAAAGTGTAATATATATAATTTTATAGATTGCGGTGCACAGAAAATACAATAATTATATAAACAAGCAGTCATGTGGGCTGAGACCTGTTTCAGCCAAGTGGCATTTTTAAGTTCATGGGAATGTGAAATTTGTTTGAATAAATTTGGATTTAAATAAATGAGATAATTTAAGAAAGGTCATGAAGAGTAATTAACCTTTACATTATATATAATGAAAATTAATCTATGTTTAACCTCGTATACTTCGATATTATTTGTTCAAGCAATTTGAATATATTTTAGGAGATTTTCAAGAATTTCTTACTCTGTGGATATTAAGGTACAGGTTTGTTAGCCAGTGGGACGCCAACAGCAACAGTATAGTTGAACAAGTAGTCACTAACATAAAAGACGGGGATCGAGAGTAAGAAAAACTCTCGAAACTAGTTACAGGTATAACATGTACATTTAGAGTTACTTCCTTTTCGAATTTTGCCAACTGTTTCAGTGGCGATTCTTCAATGTTAATTGTTATATGAACTTAAAGTTTTCAAGTCCTGCCATATTTAAAGAAGACTTAAGAAACGGGTTATACAACCAGAAGAGACATTTCGCTCCTTGTTATGGTTACTATGACACAGTCTGATATACAGTGAACCAAGTCCAAAGGCAAAACGATTCCAAAATACGTATTCGAAGTCGTCGACGTGACTCACGAAATCGTAATGACACGACTACAAACAAATCACACCACGGGCGGGGATAGAACCCTCGATCAGAGATTTATCTAGAATGAATCTTATTGTGGCCAGCTGACCCAGTGGCTAACGCGACGGTCTGGAGTTTTGAGACTGATCGCGAGTTCTATCCCCATTCGGGGTATGGTTCGTATTCGAAGTGTTTGTTAATGTGTCTTTTAACCACAACTAGTGGGTATTATATAACCAGGTTTTCAACAAGCAATTTATTGCCAAATAAGCTTCTGTACAAGAAGAAACTTGGTTCCGATAAAGCTTATGTATAAATTTTGTCTTTATCCCCCATGTTTGCAGCGAAGGCGCCATTTTTTCCAGTCTGGACACATTAATAGTGAATTTAATACCACTGTGCCAACACCCACTCACTTATTATTATTATTATTAAAGATTCGCCGGTATTCTCCCGGCCCGGGCCTTTTCCAAGTGGTGGCCCGGCCTTGGCTCCCTCTTTAGGGAGTGTCTGAGACCTAAGTCTCCCATGGGAGGAGGCACAAGTACCTCCTCATCTTTGGGACCAACTGTCCCCAGGCCTAGTCACAAGCTAGGCCTCTCTGGTCTGCCATCCCCGCCCCAAGGGGGCTAATGGGAATGACAGTCTTATGAGCTAAAGGCTCGGGCTCAGGCACCTACCCTACCCTAGAAGGGTTAGGCATGGTGTCGATGCCACTCACTTATGTTGGCTACTTATAATAATAATAATAATAATAATCTAGCAACTCCCTAGTAATTATGTAAATAACCCATTGTGCCACATTTCTTGATCAATTTACTTTCTATTAATTAGGTTAGACTTTACACTCCTCATTCATTAATGGGCTGTTATCCTTCCTATTTCATTTCAAAGCCCAGCCCTATCTAAGGTAAACTACCAACTCCATGGCTGCAACTCACAATAGTCGATTAACACCCAGGTACCTACTTACTGTTAAGTGAACAGAGAAAATAGGTGTAAGGAAATGCGTCCACCCGTGCCGGGGATCGAACTAGGGGGCCCTCAGTATGTGACCTGAGCGATACCACTTGAGCCCCAAAATACTGGTATGTGCTCAGAGCAAGGCTGCTTTTAGACTTTCACAGCCTTTGCAGCGTAATAAAGACTTTCTCCACCATGTAATGTATATACATCATGAGTTCATGGCAGAGTTTACCAGTAAAAGTTCTTGCCAAGTCACGTCCAATATGGCTGACAAGTGTAAATCGGTTGACTTTAGACACGTGACTTTAAATTTTTTATTAATGTTTTTCAGTCACGTGATGTCTGTCAGTGCACTGAACAGAGCAGTAAAATAACATATCACAGACACATAGGCTCACACATGTATATTTTAAATTCAACCCTTGTTAGATTAAACGTTAATATTTAAGCTAGGATAATGCCTGTTATAGTGCCGGTAGCTTCTTAAAGGCTGTTAAAAAAAATCGGAAATGCTAAAACGTACTGAGAGGAAGTATTGCAGACAGGTGTTCAAATCTCGTATATTAATTTACATTCGTGTATATATATGCCTGAAGTTAGTCTGTCATTTGATGAATGGTTACGTTCGGCAGCCTAACGAACCACAGTGAAAATAAAAGAGCTCGCTTAAAGCCTTAGAAGAATATTAATCTACTAGGAATTAGTCTTACAAACGATTATTAAAAAAATGGCTCTAGTTAGTTACAATTGCTGTTAGGTAAAACTGGTATGGAACCTCGCACATTAATACGACCCTCCCTCTGAGCTCTTCTAGTAGTGAGAGGTGCGACCTCACTCATTATTCCACACTTACTAAATTCTCCCTTCATGTTTCTTGAGTGAGTTCACACTAAACATTCCAGCAGATTGCACAACCCTTCCTCCTAGGCACGAAGTTGGTTTTTTGACTAAATGGATTTGAGCTTATTTCTCTACGCAACTTTAAGTTTGCCTAACGTGTGCTAGACTAACGCAAATTGGTCATATTTAACGGATGGCAACACGAGACATGGGCAAAAATAATTTATCTGATGTTATTTATCTGACGCAGCAGGAAATGGGGAACCGAGAAGCAAACGGAGTTGAACTCGTAGTAAAACTTCTTTCTTTTATTTCCACGATTTTGCCTTTTAGTAAAAAAACCAACTCTTTGTTATGAGGATGGGTTGGAGGGAGTGTACAGAGTTAGTCAGGATCGGGAGACGAAAATGCTGTAACCCGCGGGTTCATACGTAGGCCTCATGCTTAGGGCTCATGCGTAGGGCTCATACGTAGGGCTCATACGTAGGGCTCATACGTAGGGCTCATACGTAGGGCTCATACGTAGGGCTCATACGTAGGGCTCATACGTAGAGCTCACACAAGAAGTAACTTACCGCGATCATCTCTGTCGTCTTGAGGTTCCAAGGGGTAACGCTCGTCTGCAAAGAGTATAAGTTACTACCAGGCGATACAAGGGCCCCTCAGGAGAGCTTTTTACATTATAATAAGGGAAACTTAGAGTAGTGTTTCTCGACAACTATTATGAGGGCAGTGGAAACCTGATAGTGCTTCAGTCCATCTTAGACCATTATTAAGTCGGCAGTAACTTGATAATTTGTCGAGAACAAACCCAAACCGTCTAATTTCTCTTATATATTTTTTTTTTTTTGGGGGGGGGGATAGTTATGAATTATTTCAGTCACGAAAATATATCTTATTCTTTTAGTGTTTATTCTCTGACGACATGTTTACGGTGTGGATTTATTTTTGTTGCTTGATTTATTAGGTTGATTCTATTTACTCACATGTTCCAGTAATTTTGTAAATATCTAGAGTTTACGTTGCCACTGAGTTCGGTAGAGTAATAAGAGGCGAGAAATAAGATTATATTCACCAAGGTCAAGGGCAGTTTATTAAGGCGAGAGAGACGGATCATGGCCCTCTTGTACTAGTACTACAATAGTTGTGTTGTTAAAAGTACCTCGGAAATGAGGGACTTCTATGTCTTTGGTATAGAGAATTGAGCCTTTGGAAACAGGTGAGCATGAGTTATGTATTTAATTTCGTCAGGTAGTTGAAAAATATGTTGTTAAACATAAAATATCGATATATATATATATATATATATATATATATTATATTATATATATATATATATTATATATATATATATATATATATATATATATATAAACACTGATCTCTGGCTGAAGGAGAAGGAGACTCGAACCTACGAACCTTAGAACAAGCTACGCAGTGCTATACCAATCTACCCACACTGGACAATACCTTGGCGTGTAGCTTGCTTGTCCAGTGTGGGTAGATTGGTATAGCACTGCGTACCTTGTTCTAAAGTTCGTAGGTTCGAGTCTCCTTCAGCCAGAGATCAGTGTTTGTGTATATTTCGCTGCTCTTGCGAATTCCTTATATATATATATATTATATTATATATTATATATATATTATATATATATATATATATATGCATGCAATAAGATCACAGCAAACAGGTGATGTCAGAATATGCAAAACAGCTACTGTGAAAGAATAGTAAAATTCCAATCGCTTTCGTGGCTTCTCACATTATCAAGGAACTATGAAAAACTTCCCCTCACTACTTCAGTTGCAGCCTAGCAACACTGCATACCTCCTCATGACGCACTAAGAAGTGTGAAAGTACTTAAGCTGAAGATTGTCACCCCCTGTGGCTTGTCTTGCATATATATATCCTATCCCATCCTGTCTCTTGTATCACATAGTCCTTCAACATTTCCTTTCGGTATATTTATCTTCTCTTTTCGTTGTTACAATATTATTTCACTCGAGTCTGTCCTCATCTATATCGTGTCCCTCTCACCCAACTCCTTCCTCTCCCGCTTACCTTACTCTTTCTGCTTCCTCTTATTCCTACTCTTCCTTCTCCCTCTCACGCTATTCTGTCTCGTACTCTCACATTCCCTTTTGTCGCACCTTCTCACCTTTCAGTTATTTCCCGTTTCCTTCTTTTTTTTATGTGTTATTACCCCACCGCCCTCCTTCCCTCTCTTCTTTATACATCCATTTCTCCCTCCCGTCCTCTTTCCTCTTCTTCCTTTACTTTGTTCTTTCTTCCATCCTTCCCTCATACCCCCCTCCATCTCCCCTTCCACCTCCCTCCCCCCATCTCACCTGGCTCTCCCAGGAGTCTCATCCTGAAGTCGATGTAGTTCTCCTTGTCGGAGAAGATCTGCTGGCGACGGTCCGTCACCCTCACCACGCCCTCGCCCACCACGTGGAAGTACACACCTGACGGAGACAAACCAGAAGACATTAGAATTTGCTGCAGGAGTACACGCCTAGCGGGGAAAAACAAGAAGACAGTATCTGCTGACGAAGTAACACAAATCAGGTGACATTTGAATTTGCTGTGGAATTGCATTCATGACGAAGACATACCAAGAAGACAACAGTATTTGCTGTGAGAGGAGTTTCCCTAAATTTTGCTTTTAACAGATGAAACATAAACTGTAAATATACCCAGATAAACAACGTCTGTCAACCTCTCGAAACCCAGTTCCTAGACTTTCAGTGTGTTTATTTTCTCTTGCGCAACTGTCCATAGGTTGGAGACACAGAAACTTAGCTACTACCGTCCATAGATTGGATATAGAGTGCACAATAGCCTACTGTACTGTTGCACATATCTCTTATACATACATAGGTATGTACGTAAATTCCAACACAAGAAAACGCATTATGCACTGTATTTCTGCTCCACAATATGTCCAGTGTCTCGATATTTCAACATTTATAAACCAATGGTTGTTGATAATTCAGCATCAATAGACAATCCACTGTTTTCTGTTACAATAACGTCTCCCGACTGTTGGTAAAGTTTCTTAATGTATCCAAAAAAGTTTATTTGATACTGACAATGGAAAATGAAAAGTAATGTATGTTTACTGGAATCTGATTCTATACCCTGTACTGTCCGCCTCTGTCCACAAGCTATCCGTCTTTATCCAAAAGCTATCCGCCTCTATCTACAAGCTATTCGTTCACAAACTATCAGTCTCCATCCACAAGCTATCCGTCCCCATCCGCAGGCTATCCACCAGTATTACGTCAGGCAGGAAAGGTGGCGGCGACTCACACCACCCGCATATTTCCTGAATGACCTTTGTGACCCATCCGACCTTTTGACCTTCTGAGACCTTCCTTCACTTTAATCAAAAACCTTCTAAGGGGAACGTTCCTTGATAGTGTTATTCAGCAGTGTGGATGGACATATACCGTTACTTAATTCCAGTAAAAAAATGATGAGAATACAAAGTCACCTGTAGTTCACCCGTAGAGAGCTCGGCTCACAACCGAAAGAACTCGGGTTCAATTCCCAGAAGGGATAAGATGCATGAGCAAGTTTCTTTTCACCTGTTGCTTCTCTGTTTGGCTGGCAGTACATAGGTATCTCGATGTTAACATTAGATAGGAGTGAGCTTTGAAATGAATTGATGTAACAACTCTTAGCTTGCAAACTGAACGATGCAAAACAACAACAAAACAATTCAACTAATGCATTACAAAACTAATGAATCATTAGTGAAGTTACTAGCATTGTCAGGATAAATTACAAGATAAAACACATTCACTGGGCAAGATGACCATTCCAGCTAGACGTTTCCGAAGCTAAATACGAACCTGCCTACCCACCAACGTAAATATTTAAGAACCTACTGAAAGGGTAACTACTTTCTGAAGTATCAGGAATCAGGTGGAACTGGTATGGTAATACCCAGAAGTGACGTCTTCAGTCCTGAAGAAGACACTCGTAGCGAAACGTTTCCTTAATAAATTATCTGATAAGTGCAAACGTGGTTTTGATTTACTATGATAAATCAGTTAATATTGAAGGAGAACAAGAATCACAATGCCGTCGACTGAACCGTTCACACATAACCTCTATGTTGGAGAGGAAATGTTAGATGATATTCCAGTCCCTCCTGGACCATTAACAAGTTAAAACTAAATTCTGTCACTTGGTAAAAGGTCCAGGACCATTAACAAGTCAAACTAAACCAGATTTCATAATAGATTCTAGACAGACGGGGTTATTTGTCACGAGATAATGTAACTCAAGAAATTAGACGCAACAATCAAAGGATGATATATATAATTTGAATGGAATCTGAACGGCAAGTCAGTACAAAGTCTGTTAATATGGCTAAGGAAGCATTAGTCTTGTTTCCTGACGAATTTCACCTAACCTAACATGCGTACTAGAGTACTGCCCTGTTGTTTTATTCAGAAGGCTAATGGAAACAATTAGAGGCAATAAATATAAATCAAGAATAAAAATCTTATCACCATTAGAATCAATAAAGATTTCACAATTAAAGATCCAGCCTGACAAATTCATCTAAATTTATCAATTTTGATCTTAACTGGGAATCAGACATTTCCAGAAAACGTACGATGAAATAGCTCATAAAACTAAGGTAAAAACAAAGTAATGTTGGAAAAGAAATTAATTATCCAAAGGATGAACGTAATTCCCAGCTAAAACGAGATTTGTAAAAAAAAAACACAATGGCTTTACGAACCAAATAACGTCGTGCCTGTCCTTTATTGGAAATTTCAATGGAGAATGCATTTTTTTATAAGTGCACAGCACTAACCAAAAACAAAACGGTCCTGTGAAAGCTAGCTCGATTTTCATGCCCTGGAACGTGAGTTTCTTGCAGTGGTGGTCCGTGAGACCAGGTGACCGGCGGTGACCCAGCGGTCGTTTCCCATTACCCAGGAAATCCCTGAAACTCGGGGTATCGGGTAAGAGCTGGGAGGAGCTGCTTGGGAAACAAGGTAACCGCAGTTTATTCCCAGCACTGTCTATCTTCTGTTTAAACTGGAAACAAAACAAGAAATACAACGACGAAAAGAAATGTTGGCTCTAATAGTTGCCATTATAACGTACTGTCATTGTTTACAAATTCCAGGTTGAAGACAGCGGTAAGTCATGTGAGTTATGTGACGGGAAGTGGTGCACTTTCTCGCCACTTTACTCTTCCCTTCAATTCTTGTCATTTCGCGCTGTTTTCCGTGCACAAGTCACCGTAATTTTTGCTGACCTCTTCACAGCCTTCCATCACTTCCCGTTACATAAAATTCCTCGTTTGCTAAAGCTTGACTTAATGGCATTCTTTCACCATTAACCTTCCCACGAATTAAAATTCACTTCCAAAGATATTTTTATCTTCTCTTTGCTTTGTCTTCAAAATAAGTAAAGTTTATCTTCACTCTCATTGCTTGTTTTAAATCAACCCTCTTACTCAGCATTATTTTCTTGTTTATCCGCCTTCCAGCCATTTTCCAACACACTCGCCAACACTTTTCTCCAACCCCGCCATCTCCCTCATAGGCCTACCTCCTTCATCCCCCCACAAAGTGCAAAAGTGTTTTTGTAATCACCTAACTGTGGTTGCAGGGGGGGGGGTCGTGCCTTCGCTCCTCTACGCGTCTTTCAACTACCTACCACCGGGGGCACTAAATTCCTCACACGTGGGACATATCGCGGATATTCGATGAAAAAAAAAAAAGCTGCATTCCTCCACCACTTTCTTGTCAAGGTCATTCCACTTCCTGGCTGCACCCTGAGGCTGACAGTGTTTCCTGACGTCTCTTGTGACTCACTGCGATTTCAGGCTTCATTTACGCCTCCTTTTGTTTACAAGCTTCGCCTGTAAACAGTCCGTCCTTGTTCGCCCTGTCAGGCTCTCTTAAGTAAATTGTACGTGATGAAGACACAGATGCAGATAATAAGTTTATTTAGGTACAGGTACGCATAAATACAGTCACACAGATTACATAGTAACATATGTGTAAACTACCCGGTATAACCTCTAAAAAAGTCAGTGACGTACTTCCATTGCGAAAACCTTTTCGCTCTGCGTAGAGCTTAATCAAGTCACTGTTGGGTGATATAGCCTATGCATGAAGGCTCAGTTGCTGTAGTGTCTGACACACTGGATACATCACCGTACTGCTGCAAGAAAGAACACAGACACAAAACATGTTTTCTTTAAACCTACACCTCTTCGCAATCCTGGGCAGTACTCTGCTCTATTTTACCCTATACATGGCGATCTTGAGTTCACGAGTTTCTTCTACCATCCAAAGCCATCAGATAAGGTTATTTCGGTCTCCTTTCATAGGTCAGTAGTCTTAGTTTTAAGACCTCTGGAGTGTAGCTTCTGGAACTACGTGATTGGAGGCGGGCTCCATGGTGGTGCTGCAGCATGGAGCCCGTACCTTGTTGTGTGTGTAAGGTCTTGATTGATGGTGCGTATGTACTCCCCTTTATGTGGTTGCACGGGTTGATTCACAGCTCTTGGCCCCGCCTCTTCGCTGGTCGCTATTAAGACCCCTCCCGGATCAAAGAACCTTATCGTGTGTGTGTGTACTCACCTATTTGTGGTTGCAGGAGTCTAGTCACAGCTCCTGGCCCCGCCTCTTCGTGTGTGTGTGTTTTATTTTTGTTGTAAGTGTAATAGAGTGCAATACCTGTCACGTCATCACCTCACTTCTCATGACCTATTTATCTGTCACGTCAAAAGCGTCTTGACGTGGGAATTATGTCCGTTTTTTTTCTCTTATCATGTCATGAAGATAATTTTTTTTTGAGCGAAGTCATGGAAAATACACACACACACACACACACACACACACACACACACACACACACACACACACACACACACACACACGATAATTACTGTTAGGAAAGAAACGGTAACTATAAGTACGATCACTAAACACAAAGGGACAAATAAGTAAACATACGTAAACAATTATTGCCACGAAATAAAAAAAAACACTTGAGTAGATGATCGGTTATACAAAAATATGAAAAGTGGTAAGGAATGTAATTTCAGGAGAGTATTGTACGGGTCTGGCACCTGACACACGCCTTGTCAGCTGACTGACTATATGCCCTGTCAACTGACTGACTGCTCGCTCTGTCAGCTGACTGACTACTCGCTCTGTCAGCTGACTGATTACTCGCTTTGTCAGCTGACTGACTACCCTCCTTCTCAGCTGATTACACACCATGTCAGCTGACTACACACCCTGTCGAATAACTGACTACACGCCTTTCAGCTGACTGACTTGAGATAGAGTTCAGTGACCCGGCTTTCTGATGTGTCTATGTATGTATGTATGTATGTATGTATGTATGTATGTATGTATGTATGTATGTATGTATGTATGTATGTATGTATGTATATACGTATATATGTTTGTATGTGCGT